TAAACGTTTTCGATGATAATGATTTTCCAGTGTTGAAGTAGATAGCTGACACTATTAAGACCTACTTTGATGTAGATTTTTAAGTAAAGAAAAAAATATTCTGAGAAGCGGGTGATTCCCATTTCATGGTGAATGCGTGATATTTGATAAACTAGAGCGCGTCCGTGATTATTGTCGGAATATATTTTGGAAGATTTGCATTTTGAGAATAGTTGAGTTTTAGTTTGAGTTTTAGTTTTGGATACACAAATGAGACGCGTGACTGTGTATCGGACGTATAATGAATGGGTAGAAGTGTATGGATGGATGTAATTACAATGGACATGGTTTCTTGAGTAAGGGATATAATTGATCGGTTCTTCTAGTGTCTAGTAAATTACGTGAAAGATACTTCGTCTCCATGTAAGTGTTTGTGAAAATAATACTCGGAGGTATTTTTTAATGTTGGTGGCGGAAATTCGTGCTACGTTGACGTAAAATGGTAGACGAAAGGCGATAAATAGCGTCTCGAGGGCTGCATCAGTGTGGTATATGGGAATCAGAGATTTACCAGGAGATGAGCACCTCGAAAATGTAGTAAGCCGGATGTTTTTTGAAATAGAGAATGAAAAGTGTAAATCACCATCAAAATAGTAGTTCTCCAAACTCGACAGGGACAAGGTATGTCTCAGAATCGTAATTTAAAATTCTGCATTGGACTGCGTGCGTCTATTGTTCAAGTGGACTTGGTTGATCAGAAACTCGATTAGGAACGGCGACAGTATGGATGGTAGCCCAAATCTCCTTGTCAGCTGTTGAAGATATCTTGTAACCAACTTTTTTTGAATTTGTTGCGTCTATATCGACGCCATTTGTTGCTTTTGCTAACTCCATAAGGAACGTTGAGCGCACTGGAGTAATCTTCCGTTAATAAGCGCCCTCTAGGGGCTGCTGTGTTGTCAAGTCACGTCAGCCATAGTCACGTACAACAGGTGCTTGGCAACGACTAATTCTCGTTTTCAATTTTTCTCATTTTACAGCAAAGTGGAATGTCCAATAAGAGTGGTCCCAATGAAAAGTCTGTTTTATTTATGTCATAGATTATATCATAACTACGGGGCGTATTTTAAGGAAATGCCATTTTTATCTTCTCGCCCTTAAGCGGCGAATTTTCGGAAGAAACACTCTTACTGCCGGGTTCTGGTAACGAAATAGTGGATAAATCCAGTTGCTAAGTTGAGGGGAGGATTTTCTAACACTAGGTGTAGCCGGAATCCATGTTTTATGGGTCCTTGATACCGAAAAATAGAAAGACGGGAAAACGTGTATCCGTCTGTGAACAACGCTGTCGGCTAAACCGTTCTGCCAATTCTTTCCTAAATTGATATTCTCCCATCGATCTGGCTGATGTCGCGGCCCCTTGAATTTGAAGCTGATATATTTTTATTTTGAGGGATTAATGAAGCATCTGAGACATTTTCAAAAATTCTCTGCATTGATTTTTATTAAATTTTGTTGTTGGGTACTTTGAAGGCTGTTTAAATGAGTGCTGCAGGTCTCATTTTTGTTGAAAACCCTGATTTTTTAAACACTGCAAAAATTGTTTTTGTTCTCTTCGTACAACTATAATTTTTTTTGTAAATAATGTGTTCATTAAGAACAGATCTTCAAATAATGTCACGTTCAATTTTCCGATCATTTTAATTATTCGAGTCTTTTTTGGGGGTAGTTTTGTGTCAAAAATAGGTATTTTCATTTTTTTAAACCTTTTTTCTTTAATTCAGCGCAAAACGTTTTGATTAAATTTGGTCTTCGTATAACATAAAGGACGTTGCCAATGGTGCAGATCTCATGGTTTTTGAAATCGAAAATTTTCTAAAATTGCAAAAATTGAATATTTTGGGCGTCTCCTTACTACTGCAGTTATGAAGATTTTTTTGCTTCATAAAATGTGCTCATTAAAAGCAGATCTTAAAAAACGGGCATGTTCAATTTTTCGAAAATATGCATATTTTTGCGGTTTTTGATAAGAATTCGAAAATGTAAATTCAATTTTTCTCGCTTTGCTTGCGGCGGTGTCGATTTGTAAAAGTAATTTGCATGGCGCATGGAGGCAGTTGGATATTCTCAGAATCCCTTCTCATGTTTGAAGTTAATAAATTAACTTAATATTACAATCATAAAACTAAAATGTATATCTCATTTTACTCATTATCTTATTTACGAAAACGTATCTATATTAAGTTGCAATGTAAATGCATATTACGTAAGCGTTACAAATATATTGCGATAATATACTGCGAGGAAGAAAATGCTGTTTTCCATTTATTTGCTCGAAGATCAAAGTAATGTTGAGGTGATTAATTTGGAATATTTATGGCTTTGAGCGTTTCATTCAGGGCTTGCAGACCATTCTAACTTCTAAGATTTACGTTGATTGATATGAACGTGGTGTTGCCATTTTTGTTTTGCATGATTGCATATTCCTAACATTTTGTTTCTTGGACTGCATATTTTTATTTATGCGGTATATTTAAGTGCATATATTCCACGTTTTTGTGCAGGTGTGTGTCGAAGACAGATATTTTCATGTATTTCTCTATCAAAAGGAAAGTGAATGAAGGTATGCCAATGCTGCAGCACCAATTGTCATCTAATATGAATGTTTCATTCATTAGATTGATGTCAATTTCCAATTCTCTTCTGAAATGATTGTTTTTGCTTGAATCGATTTATTTTCTTCAAACTTATTCATGCACATGAGTTTAGTAAAATGGGTTTAATGTTATAGCATGCTGTAACAATGCCATTGGTTCTCTCGATTACTATTTTTTATTACGTTATGTTTTTGTTACGTTTTTGTTTAACGCATATTCTTAGTTTGAAGCATATATCTTGTATATTTTAAATGTAAATGTAAACTGTTTTAGTTACAAGAAGTTCTGAGGTCTAGTACTTATTTAGTCGTTGTTAACTAATTAGAGTACATTAAATTTCTAAAATCATTTCTTACTTCTTAAATTTACAATTATTATTTAGTTGAAGCTATGACAACACCTCTCTGGTCGCAACGTATTGTAAACGGTAGACACGTCCTCCGCCGGATTGTGTTATTAAGTTCCAATTTTTTAAAGACAAAAATACGCATTTAGTTGCCAAATTTGTGTTGATATATTAGCTTTAAAAGAATTAGTTTTCGTACCTTTTGGAATACGATTTGTAATAAGTTTTTTACAAGTGATGTTGGAGATGTGTTAATATGGGCAGCAATTGCGGTATTATAATGTCACATCCGTGACTATGTGCGAGAAAGTACTGCAAGTACTAATGATTCATTTTTTCACCTTTTCCGGCATTTTTAATGCATTTTTCTCTTATGTAAGTGATCTTAATATCGTTTTGGTTCTTGCTTCAAATAATATTTACTAGATGAAACGTATATTTTATACAATTCCTGATTAGTCTTTTCGAGTTCTTCGCTCATATATTGTAATGTCAGAGTTCGAGGTGATCTAAGGTTCCTCTGACACATATCAGCGCCATTGTCGGTTCAGCCGAATTCGCGATAGAAGGCAGAGATTTACTTGTAAAGAACAGTCCAAACCAAGCAAGCTGAGTTCACTTGAACGAAAGGAAGAAGCTTCGGTTACATCAGCAATATATTCAACAACTTGAATTTTTCACCTGAACTGGTTTTGGTCCCTTTTTTATGTCCTTTTTCTGTGGTTTTATAGCATTTTAAAATTATTTTAAGAGCAATTTATTGATCATTTTTGGCGATGTTTTAGGTCATCCAAATACCCTCCCTCTAATCATAACCATATATTGCCAGATTTTGCTCATGTTTATAAACGTTTATATAAGAGTATTTTGAATTACACATCTTAATGTATTCCCCTTTTAATTTAGTAGATAAATGATTTCCCCTCCCCCCTCTCTCATACACACACACTCGCGCACGATTAGACTCATTTATTACTAGATTAACATGAATTGGGTATGGGCGCCAATACTCACAGCCTCTGAACAGGCTTTAATCTTTAATCAAACTAAATTAAAAAAACTAGAGTATATGAAAAAGTCTTTTCAGCGAGAACATTCAGGCTAACCGCCCTTTGTTAAGACAGAAAATGTGAACTCGTAATTACGGAGTTACCTAACAACAGAATGTTTATCCATTAAATTTAAATCATAAACTCAAAGCATCTTTAATTAAATCGTAATATCAAATTTCGGCAGCTTTTGGCCAAGAATTTGTCGAAAAAGAAAGCGAGTGCCGCTGCTATTATGACAGTCCGCGTCGCCAGGCGTCGTCGGGAGCGCCGTAGAGCTTCGCGTTACAAATACTCCCTGCCGGAGCCGTGCCGGCGCGCGCCAAGATAACGAAGACGCTTTGTGCTCGTATTCTCTTAATGGGATCAGAAATAATACCCGGCCATTATGGGGTGGGGAGGGGCGGAGGTCGTAATTTCGCCAGGGGGCCGCCCCTCTTCGATGGCGCGCGCAGATATGCACGGATATCACCCTTCCTCCCCCCCCCCGGATGGTCGGAGTGGGGGGAGGGGTGCGACGCGTGTAGCTGAAGAGGGCGCGCGACGACGTGTGATGTCGAGCTTTAGGAATCTCCAGCGGAGGAGCACTTCCTGGAAGGAGTGAAAAAAATAAGCAGGTTTAGTTTTAGCAACAATAAGAATAGAGGTACCTGCGAAGCATGCTTCAGCTAGTCATCTGAACGTTCTTTTACTGACTGAACATATTAAGAAGAATATTTTTGAAGATCGAGCTTATCGAAATGTATATTAAATATCATACAAATATTAAAACTAGTACATTATTTTCTTTCATTGAGACGATTGTCAAATTCAACGAAAGAGCACAAATCTCATAGAGGCATAGATATTCGATTGGAGGATCAAAGAATACAAAACTTCCTCGTGCTTCGACGAAAACGTTTTCTGTAATTCATCTTCCTTGCTGGAGACAGGTTGTCTCATCTTTATAGATTGGAAATCTGTCATCAAATGCAAAAAAGGAGAAGTGGCAGGTGAGTCGTAAGTATGCTTTGTCGTTTGGCGTAGATTAGTGTAACTCTTCCTAAAAAAATATCATCATTCTTTGTTGTGTGATTCATAATTTAAAATGTTTCCTTCGTCTACCAATCAGTCAAACTATTATTCCATGCTTCTATTAGGCTCTTTGTTCGTGCTCGGAAGGAGAACGTCACTTGCAGTGGGAGGCTGCGGGAGAAGTAATTCGCATTTTAAATGCAATTATAGGAGTCTGGTCCTGCTCGTATAAGCCATCCAAGGGTTTAATGGAAGGCTTCATTCGTTTTTATTCGCCCACGTTTTAGATAAAGTAAATTACTGTTTAAAAACGCGAATTAACATATAAAATGAACTTAGTCGGGAAGTATTCAGATCATTGAAATAAACATGATTTGCTACTTTGCTAAAAGGTAGCAGCCCCTGACTCCAGCTGTCACGTCCGTCAAATCTCAGGCACACTAATAATTCCAGAAATTTATAGCATGTCTGTCTCTGGCGTTGGTGATTATTTAAGTCGTAAGTGAACCGCGGACGTGCAAGAATTTTTTACCTTTGAAAAACTGTTTTTATCCCATAAGTGCTGAATATCCCGTCGAGCTCTTGAATGTCGAAAAGCTCAGACCGTCACAGTTTTTCCTTCTTCGTGACTTTCTGCATTTTCGTGGGAAGATCTGAGCGTGCCTTTGTCGCACAAAATTACATTTAATATGTGAACATCGAATGGGTTATATGAGTTTTTTTAGTGTTTACGACAATATTTTATTGTTTTTCTGTGTTGACATTTCTTATTTACAAGGTGCTCTCCATGTGGTTTCGGTGGTTTGAACAAGATTGATCGACTTAATGTCACATCATTGTGTGTTTTTAAAATGTCTCACAAAGGATGCGTTTTCTCCAAGTTAATACCGTTGTCTCGACAGTATCGTTGGCCGGAAAGTTCTGGAGTTCCGATAGTGGCGGATTATTGACAGTAGATACATTATTGGGTAGAATTCATTCGACAACGACCAGCTGAAGAATATAGCGATCAGTTGCTTCGATCGATCCTTTTCTGTCGTTTCCCCTATCAGCACAGGGCGCATCTCAAAGTACCTTAACAATCGGAACGCCCATAATCTTTCCTTCCCACCCTTCCCCCTCCTCTCCCATTTCATAAAGACGTGCACAACACTACCGCACATGCCGCACAACCAGTGGGGATCTCAAAGATCCTGCCTGGTGAGGTGTCTAACTAGGGGCAGATAATTCGAGGAGGAAATCCGCAAGCCGAGATGTAGGTGAGCAAAATATTTCGCATATCAGTAGGAGGATATATCACCACTTTCCGGGATATAACTTGCACTACACTTACGGCACTAATGACCGCGTTCGGAAACAATAAACACTCCCTCACTGTCAGTTTCCCGTCACCTCGGCCCAAACATGTGCGTTCGTCGAGAGCTAGGCGCAATGCGAAGCAGGCGGTGCGAGGCGTCGGGACTCGCGGATAAGCGGATTGATTGATTTTCCTCCAAGCAGCGACCTTGCTGGAGTCGAAAATCCTACCATGGTTGGGAGTGGAACCCTAGGACCTCCCGACCAGAGGCACTGGAGTGACGTCAGTTGAGGCTCTGAGCCCCCTTTCTCGATGCACGCAATCTCCTACCTATCCGTGATTGTGTGCGCCCCGCCTAAAGGCGCTCTGTTGCTGCGCGGCGGGTTGCCTACGCGCGCAGGCGCTCTCATACTCACCCCGGCTCCCTCTCTCCCTACCGCGACATCTCGTTCAGTATTCCCGCAAGGGAGCATAATTGTCTTCCGTCTCATCGGGAAACCTGCGCTGCTAGGCCAGCGTTCAATTCCCTTCCACTCCCCCGCACCACTATGTCGGCCGCTCCAGCGTGTCATTGTGTCTCCCGATACGGCCCCCTGAGACTTCGCAAACTTACATCACCCCTATTTTGCGATTCTCGTGTCCCCTCTGATGCCACCACACTGCTGTAAACGTTTGTTTTCGCTTCACAGCGTTTTCCGTCCCTGCGTGTCTCGTGGAGATGCGCCCCTGCTCCTGCGCGCTCGCGCCATTATATCCCCAGACTTTTGTTTTATAGCACCCTCGCTACGTTGCATCTGGACGCCATCCTGTCTATCTGCATCCACGTCATGCACCCATTGTGTCCTTCCGAGACTGGATCTAAAATTTTGACTCTGACACTCCCTTGCGTTTCCTGCTGGCTACTTCCTTACGACCTAGCGTCACTGAGTCTTATTGGCTGCCACGTTCTCGCGCCGTTTTGATCCAGTTCTTTCATGCTCCTGCGTGCGCGTTTCCTCCTGGCTCATTCCTACAAACGATAGTCGTTATGTTTCATTGCCTGCCTCATCCTCGTTCTCTTGCTATCAGTTTACGACGAACGACTTCGGTTCCATTCAGCCCCAAAACTATCCATGGTCACTTGAAGTGATAACACTCGTACAAACTGTATCTGCGAATAAATATAACTCTAAACTTGCAAGAGACATCTGATAAAGGGAAACCAGCACATTTACTAGCGACTTGTAATTAATTTTACGTTTATTACCAGTCATCCGCAACCAGAGCCGCCGTCGACAGTGATTCGCGTTTGCAACCATGGGAGTGCAACGCATTCCTGCTGTCGGCGCTTGCGCGTTTCTCGAGAAGCTGGTACCGTCGTGCCCGCCAACCAAATGGATTCCTATCGCCGCCTTGGAAAATACGTTCTACTGCAGTTTCCAGAGGTTGAATCCGGAGCCACCATCGCCGGAAAGCAGAAGAACATGAAAGGTGACACAAACAATCTACCTACTAAACTTTTACGACCTCAAAGCCGTACACAATACCTAAACTGAAACATCTTTATTTTCGAGGGAATCAATTAGTCAATTCATAATTTTTAGCCAAGAAAATAACATCAATATCAGAGATTTTTAATCAACAATTAATTGAGAATTAATAACTATAAACTAACCATATATTTGAAATCTACAAATTCAACATATTTTCGAAATGTCCCACATCCATCTATTCTCTTCCTGCGTAGACTTAGACATGCTGGCTGTGCACATAATGTATGCATACTTATTATTCTTAAAGGTATTATTGAAGAAGATTCAAAAAATAATAATCGAATTCTTTTGTTGAGACGCAGCGACCAGCCGGGAGACGAACTTCGCAGCACCGCTGCCGCCTCATCCCTCTTATGCGCGTCACGTCGCGAGCTCTTGAGGCAGGTACCGATGGCTTCAACACTCGCGCGCGCGAGCGCCCATCCGCGCCGCCTTCGCCTTCGGAGAGGCGCCATTCAACGCTTTTGCAACGCGCCTGACTCCATCAACCACACGGCTGCGCATTGGTGGAATATCACATCCTTCGATCTGAACGAAGTAATTGAAACATTAAAAACACGCATTAATTCCTTTGCCATTTAATGTGAAAGAACAGTGGTTAACCACGACGTGTTAGTGTACTGGTACTTCGAGATCTGTGCGCCCTCACCCTGCTCTTTGACGCCAAGCAGCGACCAGCGCTCACCAACGGACACAGGCTGAAGAACACTTTCTAAACGGACGACGTGTGAATCTTTTGAATGAATATTTTTCTCTGTGCTGTAACAGTGTTTGTTACTGGTAAATCAGCTCTATTTTACACGTTTAATCATTTGAACTGATTATGTTTTATCATAGTATTTGTTCAGTGTTTCAAGTGTTTTAATGAGTACTTACAAATGAGAGGGTAAAGAATATACATTCTAACACGGCACGTGGGCAGTTAAGAACTTGGCAAAATGTATCCTACTTCATTCATTTTCATCAAGCTTGGGAATTAAGAATACTACTGTATATACTCATAATGGACTCGTTTCTCAGTTATGTAGCATTTCTTAGCTCAGCCATATTGGGTATCTTGTAAGACATGTAAATGAATGTGGTATAACAACACACAAAGTACAACAATTTTAATTATTTAAATTTCAAGTCATATGTAATAACTTACATAATTTCAATGCTTTAATGTCTCAATTATTTACTCTTTTTTGTTGTGCATAATTGTACGATATGCTTGAATTCAGTTTACATCATTAATTGGTTGATGTTTAATTGTGTAATTTGTATGCTGAGCTTTGTTCCTAATATAATGGCATTGAATTTGCATTTCAGTAATTTCAATTTCATATCGTTTAACTTGCATAATTGCAATGTTTCAATGTATTAGTTGTTTAATACTGTTTGCTGTGCATAATTGCTTAATATGTTTGTATCTTGTTTACACTTTTAATTCATTCAAATGTAATTACTTGCTTACTCAACTGGTATGTTGAGATTCATCACTCACAGAGCAGCATTCAATTGCATTTAAGTGATTTCAAATGCATATCATTTTATTTGACTTGCCACCCAATTGCAATGATTTAATGTTACAATTGTTTGATTTTTGTTGTTACTCAATGCACACATACTATTCACTCATTTTAATTTGTCATGAATTACATTCAATAATTTCGTTCTTGCATTTGATTTATAATGTACTACGATAATTTACTTTTTATTAGTTATTAAATTTTATTTCGTTTGTGAAACAATTATTTCTTTAACCCGTCATCCCAACCAAATTTATTTTTAGTTTTTCTGTCTTTCTCATCTTCAATATTGCTTCAAAAAATTTTATTTTCAGTTACCTAATCAGCAGGAGTTTTATGTAAGAGCAAATGAGATATTAAGTTTTTGCAATGTATGTTGAGCTTTAAATCTGTAAGTCTCACCAAGGTTCTAAATTGACTTATATAAATAAATGTGCTTGTTGGAAGGACCAAACCCTTTCATTATTCCTATACCCAAACTTCTGAGTGAGAAATCCCTGGCCCAAGACCTAGCTCACCCCGATATAAAATTGGTTAAAAAGAGAAGTAGAGAACCACACCCAAAAATTTAAAAAGGTGCTATTAATTAATGCATGTACCTACCCGCTCTGTTTTTCTGCACTAACACGCCTTCCTATTCCCGCATTCGCATCCCTGTTGCCCCGAAACCTCACCGTTGCTTGGGCCAGTGGCGTAGCTTCAGTTGGTGTCAGCCCCAACTAATATCATCACCCCCAATAAATTAAATATTAAAATATATTACTGAATAGTTTATACATTACTATAAAATTACACGAATACTTGCACATTTATTTATAATATATTTAAAAAATGCAGGTAATTCAGAATAATTGAAATATAATTTTTAAATAAATCATTAAAATTACATAATTCCATCTCTAAAATTTTCCAATTAGTGTCACCTGGGCGCTCCCCCCCCCCCCACTCCACCTCTTCGCCCATAAAATCCGCCGCTCTCGTTGCATGGCGCGTACCGCGCCGGAGCAAACCCTGAATGCGACGTTTCAGAGACTGCTGCATCTCGCACGTGCCACGACGAGGAGCGGCAGAATGTCAAGGGGCCTGCGCTGGCGCCAGGGCGCCACTCCGGACTCTAAAGCGCAAACACGCACGTGCTGGATTTCAAAGCGAAGGGGGTTGTATTCAGCGCTCCCCGTGAAAACTGGGTGTAAGGCTACACCCTCAGTTACTCGGAGACGTAAAATTTTAAAAAAAAAAACTTTTTGTAAAGTTTTGAGCTCTTTTTGAACCAAATAACTCTTGCTTCGCGCTGTAATTAAGAAGCAAAATGAAATATGTGTTTTTAAATATCAGGACCCTAAAACATTCTAATGTGCTTTTCTGTAGTAAATAAGAAGAAATTGTACGTTGAAGAAAATACTTATTTTATTCTCATGAACATATTTAAAGGCTTTTAGAAAGTGTGTACGGATTACGATAAATGGAATATTTCGGTACTTTTTATCCCTTTCTTGCAAGAAATAGGTAAGCCCATTTCGACGTCAACACGTTTTTAAATGTATTTATAATTTTAGCAGTGGCGGCTCGTGTGTGTTTCTTAAGAGGAAGAGTGACCAATTGCTTTAACTACTTCAATTAAAGCCAACAACTAATTAGATTACAAAGTCCGCATAGAATGGTATAAGAGACAAAGATCTATCGGATCGGTTTGCTTGCTCGTGCTGCTAACCCGCTATGGAGATTACGTTACATCGAGCACCAACTTTTCCTACTAAATGCATTTTGATTCTTTGCAATAGCGCAAATAGTCTTTGAGTCATTGAAGGTCAAACTTCTTACTGACGAACGTGGCTCAGGGCATCGATCACTGCAGTCCTGCAGTACCTCTGCCCGGGGGTCCTAGATTTCGAATCCGGACGGTGGCAGGATTTTCGACACTAGCTTCATGGCTATGTGCAATTCAGCTGCTGTCTGGAAGATAATATTCGTGACCGGTACATCTGACCTGTAGTTTACAGTGATTTTCCCCATCAATAATAATCTAATGCTGGAGAAGTTCCATATCAAACGGGCCAAGGTCCGCGCGCGGTCTTCCTAACTCTATCCTCGCCCCTTACGTACTCATTCACTACACCAACATAGACGCTTATCCTGGCTGGGTCAGTGCTCCACTGACGGGAGATACGTTGTTGGAGAAACCCTGCGAAGTGTATGTCGGTGCCGGATCTTTCCATCCAGCTGAGGAAGATAACTGCACCTCCAATACATTTACGAAACTATTGACCTTAGCAGTTGATGCACTCAGAATCACTAATCAGTCAATCAAAATTGTTACTGTCATCCGTTTAGAACTCCAAGAGTACGCAACTATCATCCGTTTAGAGCTCCCCGCAGCAACAATGGTGTAGGAACTATGATCGTATAAAACATGGTGGGAATGGACCAGCTCAGGCAGGAGAAGGCAAAGAAGAACCTGATTGAGCTGCGAGGGTGAGTACGACGGGGCAGGGCAGCCATCGGAGGGTCGGTCGGAGATACACCGGACATAGAATTAATGCCTTTTCTTGTCAAATAGTTGATGGTGCTGAATAAATACTCAGGCAACGCAGTGCTCTAGCTAGTCTGCAATAAAACTGCACGTGATTGTTGCAATATTGACGATATATTGATTGTATTGTCAATTACGGAAATTAAATAAAATTAAGTCACTTTTTAAAATTTTGTTTTGGCATATTTTTTCTTCAATTTTTTGTTTTGATTGTTTTTCCCGAGCTTATTTTTAAGTGTTAGTGTATTTTATGCGTCTAAAATGTAGGTTTCCACTAATTATCCTCATTTGTCTACAAATGACTAGGTATGTATTTTCAAATTCATTATAAAATGTAATTCTTCATTCGTCTTTTGCTATCAGTTTTGTAGTATGAACTAGAACTAGTTGCAGGTATGTAATGCATGATAAACTTCCTAGACAAAACGATACATTTACACCATGACTCTCAATCGCAATTCCCTCAATATTTCGAAACGTGCACAGTTGTGTATTAATACGCACGCGACTATCAAAGTAACGCAATTACTCTCTGCAAAATGAAAATTTTACTCTCGGTCTGACCATGGATGGCTATGGAGGGAGATATTGAATATTCACAAATGTCCGCGGGCAAAGAATAACTGGTAAATAATAAATTAACCTAAATTGAGTGCAAAATTTCCAGTTGTTTTGCAGTGATGTTGTGTTTGTAAGAACACATATTTGAACTAAAGCTCGTATGAAGAAATGTAATTCGCCGAATTAAAAAAGAATTACACAGTTCAAATAAAGTTAGTGGAACCATAACTATCAACAGTTTAAATTGCATAGTTGTGTTAGTTTCCAAACAAAATATTTCCGGAACGTTATTATAACTTTTATACTAAAAATGTTAACAACGTTTGATTACATTTGGAGGCACTTTTTCTTACATTAAGGGCAGATGGTAGGTAATTTTTACTAAAACTGAATTTTTTTTTTCTTTCTCAAAAAATCTTTAATCTTTCCTCATCAATATATATAATATTTTCTCACATTCGGACCATTTAAATGGTTTAAATAGCAATTTAAATCTCTCTGTGCACGCCATTTTAAATAGATTACGCCCTTTCTCTCTGTTCGAATTCTGTTTTCAATCATTCGTAGAATAATTTCGGGATATTTTTTGCTAAGAAAATCTTGTTTCGAGTATATTGGCTACTCTGTAAAAATGTGATACTGTATTGCATTCGTTCACGGAACTGGTATTGTTGTTTCTGCTTAAATGTTTGGCTATGCGTGTTGTGTGCTGTTTTTTTTCGTGTTTTGTTGCTAAGACAGTTCTTTTTCCTGTCAAAATGGATAGAATAAAAAAATTAGCA